ATGTGGTACAAAGGTTGAAGAAAGTGTGTATAAAATTTTCAGTCAGTTATAGGACAGACAAACAAAAAATAAAATGTACAATCTCAAAGAGCTTGACCAAATGTTTTGAGATTCGTCAAAAATTAGGCTAATACAATTTTTTTGGTTAATCACTTTAATGTTGGCGACTGACTGATTAACTAAAATAAAAGCTGCATTTAGATTGAAATCTCTATTAAAAAAATAAATTGCTGTGCTTGAAACTTTTGTTTTAGATGACTATAGTGAACGATTTGGTATATTAAATTGCATTTTTTGTCAATAAGGTCAAATATGAAATTTCAAACCATTTGTTTAAAGTCATCAAATGCAACGATCACGCTACCTTTCACAGACGTACATTGAATCCCATTGTCACATCCCATCAGCACAGAGGGGAAAAAGTGAAAAGAATGCATAGCAACGGAGTAAAAGTAGCAGAAATATCTATCATAGAACAAAAAAAATTAAACGTAGAAAATATGAAGAGTAGGCAATATTTAATCTATCAGCACTTTTCTAACAATAACAATATAAAAAGATCATAAGAAATAAGGAATTTCATTTTAGCAAGTTCTTAAAATATTCCGAATTAATATCATGTGAATTTTCGAGATTTTCTACCAACAATAAGTCTCATAAAATGACCTGAAAATGTTAGTCACTTGTAATCGTCAACCTTTGTTAGTTTTGCGCCTAGCCTGAATGTATCTTGTGTTTTGTGGGAGTATGAGGAGCAGTACGTAAGAGAATCCGGAAGAGGAAAAAACAAGAGAAAAGGTGAGCTGACGACTCGGTAGACACATAGCATGCACTTAAACTTAATAATAAAATCGACTGACAACAATCATAAATAACACGACCACGAGATTAAGACAATCTGAAAATCGATACTAGAAATTGATAGCGTAATGTTTTGAATGTTTTAAAGAATTTTGAATCTGAAAGCACCCATTAAAATCAGCCTGCTGCAATTCCATTCTAAGTATTTCTGAGTGAATTTTAATGTTTTAATAGTCGTACATTTGTCTGTATGAATTGGAAAAGATTAAAAGTATTCTCTTTCATTCCTAAAGATTTTTATTTGCTTCTGCGCTTAATTTAGATTGTGTTGTGCATTGTGGTAGTGTAAATATAAATCTTTATTATACCAAGTAATAATATCCTCTTTTCACGAATTCATATATGATCAGCATATCGTCATCAGGTTAAACAGATACTCGTGATCAAGGACTGGTGTTTACATGCGTCATACTTGAAGTTAGACATGTGTGGCACGTGGACAACAAGGCTTCAACTGCTTCTTCACATTACAGTTAATCATACAAAAAGTGTTAACTTCTGACCAAACTCATAGTTAATTTAACAGTTTAATTCATGAGTCAACTGAAGCTAGACCACCATCAAAAACTTGAAAGCACTGAACGACCGTTTCGTCCTAGTATTGGACTCCTCAGCAGTGGGAATCCAAGACCCCGCCTCGCGAGATTCGAACCAGGGACCTATCGGTCTTGCTAGAGAAGGCTTAAACTCTACATCACTGTCAGTCAGTCAGTTACAACGTAGAACTTCGTACGTATGTACATCAGTTCGAGTTGCCAACGGTGTTAACGTCGAACTTCTTTGGTCAATCATACAAACATTTTACACAAATTACTCATTACTGGTTATTAAACATTGTTTTTCAGTTTTTATTGCCGTCATCAGTTAATGGGCATAATCAGTAGGTTAAACGACGGAATATCAACATGGGTTATGCTTGGTGTTTTTCGATTGTAGAAGTTAGTTATCAGGGGGTTGCAAATTTACTCCTTGAAATTTTCGTATATTATCAATCATGCACTCATGAAACTTAAAGAAATATATGGTATGAGTCACTGTTATTTGATTAGTGAGTTATACGTGTTTACTCGTTTTTATTCATAACTGATACAACTCCTTCATGTTCGTTTGTTGTCTCTTCTTATCTTTAAGCGTTGATACAAATGTTATTACTAGATGACTTTTACGAAAAACCTGAGATTTCTTATTTTATCACTTATTAGTGATGCTTTTAGTTATTCTAGTTTGTTAATATAAAAATTAAAACTGTCGTGATACAATCATACGATTGGAGATTTTGCTACTGTGCTGATTAAACATTAAACTTTTCCCCTAAGAAACGATTAATATGACATACACCTACAGATCACCAAGTCTAATCATTGAGTTTCTTGTTATGATGGAAAATATTTGTAGCTCAGGATGAGGATGATGGAAGTGTTCTGATCTCTGAGCTGGATGGTTTGGTTATGGCAACGTCTGATTTCGATTGTCAGATTGTCTTAATCACTCCCTTCATTAATTAATATAAGTGAGTCCTTTGAACTTGCTTAGTCGTTAACTCATTTTTCCAATATTCTCCTCCTTTCTAGCTTCTCACGGACACGCTGTTCTATATATTTATCCAGCACACAACATGCCTTCAAACTAGAAGCAAACCTACAAAGTCTAAGCGTTACAAATCAGTTTACATTTCAGTCTCCAAGTAAATGCATAGGAATTAATTCCATGCTTATGTCCACTGACTCAAAATTTTATTCATGAATATCAGTACATTAGTATTTTTAATTGACAAAAAGTATACGAAATATGACTATTCTAAGAATTCATTTCTAAAATAATCTCTAAGTAGCGACAGTTTATAAATATTATTTTGGGTTTAATTGGCAACAAAATCCAGTCAGCGGATGCAGAACATGAAGTGCTATAAGCACATTGAGAAGTGAATTGAGAGAATTTCAGAAACAGTTTGATAATTGCATGGATAAACTTGACAATTTTCTATCTTTTATTTCTTTTATTTGCTATTTACGGGATAGTTCTTAATATACATATCTTATTCTTTCAGTCCATTTACACTGTGACATTCGTGATAGCTTTGCTGTTATAATTGTATTTTTTGCTATATAAACGATCCAGCTATTCCTATTGCTTAGTATTCTTATACGATGACATTCGACAAGACCCCAAAATCAGAACACGTTGAACAGGAATGAAATTGTATTCAAATAATAATGGTATGTGAACAGCAATCAATAGTTTAAATATCGTTCATATATTTATAGTATATGCATAAGAAGCTTATAGATTTTACAGCAATAATATGCTCGGGCTGATCGGTTTAAAATTAACCAATCAGCGCGCAGCAACACCATCATGCATAAAACATGCTTAATCCAATCTATATCCCACTAACATTTGCCATACATATTTTAGTGAGCGACAACATCTACTTTTGTATTTAAAGGCCTGGAATAACCGAAATTCAAGTATTTGGTAGCGTTCTTGGCGAGGCTATGATTTATGGACGAACCAATTAGGTATAAAATAATAGATCTTGAATTTCGGCGCGAAATTTACTAATCCATTTGGATAAATAGAGTTTTGGCATTATAGCTGATGTCACTTCGTGATGAAAACCCTAAGTATAATTCCTAACCTTAACCATGAACTGTAAATCATAATTTGAATTCTTCACACAGGTTTATAACTCTCATTTAGTCTTAGTTATTATGTTGACACTCTCAGGGTCACTCTAGCGTCACTCAAAGGTCGTCCATAAATTATGGTCTCATCGAGTTCTTTTATATGGGTAATAGAACATTTTAAGTCATTTCCAATCAACGGCTGTATCAAAACAAATTTTTGTGCGTAATTCTTGCATTACTTAGTAATTCCGCTCACTCACCATACAGTCAAACGTTTCTCTGGTGCAAAATAGCATGCTGAGAGCTAACAACAATATTGTCATCGTGATGGAACCAACATTTCTGTTTTTAAGAGTCAAATCGAACGAAAAATATTTCCACAAACAATCAAAAAGCAGTAATAATCAACCCTTTCGCCAGTATACAGAAAAATGGAACCAAGTGGTTGAATTTTGGTCGTTACAGTACTCTAAAGTCAGTAATCATCGACCGACACATCATTTTAATACCAGGTATGGGTGCTAAGAAGTCTGATGTGAACTTGTTTTCTAAGCATCAGAATGAAATGCGAGCAGACGTTACTTCAGATCCGCGACAAGTCTCTTTTTGTGCATTTTCATATCATGGCTCCAAAATTAGTAACCCTTGTAAGTATAGTAGTTCTGACTATTTTGAAATACGCAGTAGAAAGTTTGACTATATTTCAATTGCTTCAACTACACAATTTGTTTTTTTTGTTAGTGACTTACAAATCGGACATAATAGAGTTGGGGGAGATATATGGGAAGAAATGATACTAGTTGTATGTCAAAAGAAAGTATCCAGAAAAAAATGAGGTGCATCGTAGGATAGTGGCCTAGACTGAAGTTAGAACTTATATAGAAAGTATGTGTGACTACAAAGAGAGCCCAAACTAGATACCTAAAAGTGAGTTAAGTAATATAACTGCTCCTATCAATGGGTAGGATGGATTAACTGATGAATCAAACTGTTTGGATGGTGATCAATTTGGTTAAACGGTTATGATTGATGAACTTGTGATTGAAAATAGTGTAGTTGGAAAATCGGCAATCATTACAAATTTTTGTAGCCTAATGATTTTACTCCAAACATCGAAGCGGAATCTAATGATATTCTTGTCTTACCTGTTTCTATATAACACAAGTTGATTGATAGTTAGCAGGAGCCTGTAACTCTTATGGTACGTGGAGCCGTTGTTCAACCATAACAGGCATTACACCATGAGAAACCTGCGGAATACTAAAGTGGTCACAACTATCCTTCAAATTTCAGTATATGTGAAAAAATTATATTTGAAATAGTCTCAGCGATTGAAATTTAAATAATTCCAACGTTTCGTCCAGCTAACTTGTCTGGACTTCTTCAGGAAAATAATCAAAATCAAAATCATCAAAGAAATATATAGTGCTTTTTTAACAATCATATCAAAAGCTTTACTACTTTAATCCAATCATATTTGGATGTCGAATTTTTGTAAACAAGATAATATCAGTCAGTTGAATGAGGATCAAGTGAAAAGTTCGACGATGTGAATTAAAGGAGACTGGAGACTCTTACAACTAAAATTTCCTGTTTAGATGTGGTGGATGAAGGAAGTCCGCCATCATAGGCTAGTGTGAAGACCAATTATAAATTATATTCTGGAACTCATATTGTTACTGCTTGCGAAGATGACATCAGTTGAGTGCAAATACTGTTCACTGCGAATGGTCTTGTTAGTGGTATGCGCTCATTGATGTATTGCAGTATATTCGATCGGTCAGCTAATCACTTAAATGGTGTTGCTTGTGCGACGAATTCAAATAGAAAGCGTGAGAAAAGCATGACAACTGGAAAGGAAGTTTGAGTTTGTTGTCATGTCTTATTGGTTGTGACAGTTGCAATTAATCAGGGAATATGTTTGTTAAAAACCATCCGTGCTATCAGTTATCACACGCTGAAGGGCACTGAAAGATACATATTTTTCAGTTGTGTTGTTCGATCTTGAAATTATTTGATGATGTGGTCGATTATTCTCAGAGAAATGAGGCTAAAAATAATAAAAGTATGTACAGTTGTTAAGTGTACTGAAATCCAACATCTAAACAAGGAAATAGATGACTTTACTACCTAATAATCGTACTCGTCACTGTCATGGAGTACAAAGACAGTTCAAAAAATTTAAGTGGTTCATTTGAAAGTTCGATTTATCGTGCTTTACTTGAAAGACACGATTTCTTCGAGACCAATGGTGCTCTAGGAATTTCATGAATTTTTAACTCGTCAACTTTAGTTTGCTTTGGTTTTTCTGGGGATAGTAAATATATATTACAAGCTCTTATTACAACAGTAAAAACTGAAATCAGCCCCGAACCCACATACTCTGAAAATGTGGACTCAATACTAGACGTAAGTTAACTAAACATTTAAACTGATTTATGGTTCTAATTTAATTATGTCAACAAAGCAACTGCCTTAATATGTAATAGATTAGACGAAAGGGCTCCATCAAATTATTTTGTCAATACTCTCTCGACTCTTTTGTCCCATATAACCGTAAGAGAAATTTCTAATGCTTATTTTGAGTGCAGCAGAGGATTATATAAGGAACGTGGACCAAGTCTACAACTGCCTAGCCTATATATTCAGATAACAGAATGTAATTTAGCAAAACAGACTTTGACTGACTCTCAGTTACCTCTGAATTCGTGGTTTATTGCTGTCTTCTTTTTCCATACTTATTGAAGATATATATTTCCTGTAAGAGTCATCTTAACTAAGTATATTGTGCAGTATATAAGATGTAAATGTGAATATTTTTACTATGCAACACCTTGTAGTGACCGGCCAGTCTCGATAAGAACACGATTGGAATAACGGAAACAATTATTATTATTGTAACCAATTGTACCAGAGATTGTTTTACTGTATTTGTTTAACTGTATCAGTTTCACTTCTGCTTTCGCTCTCCGCCTTGTTTGGTTCGAACTTGCTCACGCACTGCCTGTTCGCCTGTACTCTTTGGCACGTCTCGGTATTATTTCGATACCACGAGATCGCCAATAAATACAATTGATCTGGATTAATAAAGTCTTCTGATTTACGAGCTATCAAAGGAACCAAGTCGTTTGTGGGCGCGTAAACGAATTGTAGTGGTGATCATAGTCCGTCTTCGACTCGACATCCACTACAACCTATTGTAGATGTTTAAACTATGAAGGGGTTATGTTGAGCTTGGTATTTCAAGTAAAATTATGATTGTATTGAGTTGTTATGCAAATTATGTGAACATAACAACAGATCTTTGAATAAATTTACCAAAAACAAATCTTTAAAGGGTAAGTTATCAACAAATATATATGTAAGGTCCGCTATCTATTTAATTGACTGTAAAACGAAGTAAAACCTTTGATATTTCGTTTGTTTATTTAATTTTTTTCATGTAAATAGCCAAAGTCCGCTTATGTTCATATTTATTATTATTATTGTTACCAGCTAACTCATATATTGTTTTAGATAAATTTTATTCCTATTCATTCAGAGTTTCCAATTAGAAACACAATACCTTGTATTATACTTACTCAAATAAATTGACTTCAATTTCATTTTATCTTCAACACTTATGTATGACATATACAAATTGATATTTGACGACTATTCTCTGAAGTTAATTAAAACTTTCATCGAATCATTCTACACTATCATTGTATAAGCAAAGATGGATAGTGGCTAACAGTGGAATCCAGGACGCGTGTCTTGTCCTATTTGGGACTCGTCAGCTGGATGTACCTGCATCTCAGAGTTGATGTTCACTCTGGGACTCGAACCCAGTACCTTTCGCTTCAAATGCCATCACGTTATCCACTCAGCAAGTGGCTATCTGTACTCAGTAGCTGAGTCCCAGAGTGAACATCAACTCTGGGATGCAGGTACATCCAGTTGATGAGTCCCAAATAGGACGAAACACGCGTCCTGGAGTCCACTGCTAGCCACTATCCATCTTTGCTTACCATGCTTGTGAATAAAGCTATATCGAGGCAATCGCACAGAGACTGACCAGTTGCGGTCCTAACACATCGATGGGAAGATTCAAACAATCAATACTAAATAAATTTATTATTGTATAAACTAATTTTCTACTATTAAATCTTACAACATTATTGAGTTATTTTCTAATTCTTTTTTTAATACGTATATAACCGTTTATTCTTATTCTATTTAACAAATATAAGGAATAAATGATTTAGCAGCTCTCCTACAATCAATTTCGATTATGGTTAATTTTAGTTAAGCTCTTATATTAACTTATTTAACAGACAATGTTATTTGAACAGTAACAATTCGTCTATTTCTTTGTAGTATTACGATCACTATCATATCTGTATAAACGTGCATGCTTGATCACACGGCAGACTCTAGCTAAAATGTTGATGGTTTAAAAATCGCTCGATGATTCATTCTCTTACTCATGTATATATATATATATATACTTGATTCCTATTATTAGCCTTTTCTTCGCCTTATTGTGTGTACCCATATGCAGTTTGACCATAAATTTGTCTCTGTATTCTCTCGCACACACATTCGCCTCTCTGCTTCAAATTTGCTTGACGTGCTAATAGCTTTGTTGTCTGTGCTTTCCGCTAATTAACTGTACTGTCCGCTTCTCATTGCCCTTCGATTTCAAAAACCGTTGAAATTTATATAATAAGGATTACAAAGGTGATTGATTAACGAGGCGAAGCCACTACTATTATTTACGAATTTAGTTTTTCTTCCCTTTTCCTTTAAAGACAACTTAATATTCTTCTAAATACTACATACAGAATGTGTTTAAACATGGCGAATATTGTGTAAGCATTACTTAAACTTGTGTACAGTTGCGTTTTTAAAGAAATCCTAAGTGGTTTCTTTACAACACTTGTGTACCAATAAGCTGTTTGTGAATAATAGTATCTTTTCGTCGGAAATAAAATGTATCAAATGATCTATCAGTTATCTACACTTTCAGACATTAACACCATTATTACTGTTCAAAAAGTATATGAAAAACTCAGAAGTGTCAGCTTTATTAAACGATTAGTTTGGTGTTTATCGCCATGCAACTCAAGTGATGGTTCATTTACATCACCTCAACATATCATTCCACCATGCATTAACACATCTTTTAATGATAATGACTTCATACTTTTAATTTTCATGGTTATAACGATATGCATCCAAATACTAACCGTATGCTTGAAATTATTTTACTGACTATGCACTTTGATTATATTCTATATTGCATATTATTAATAGCCTAGTCGCAAACACTGAGTTTGAAGTAATTTAGGACTAAATTCAGGTCAATGCTAGAATGTTAAAAGACAGTACAGCCTACTTCAATTGTTGCTGAAACAAGGCGAACGAATGTATAAAACCACTATAATGATAATTAGCAATCAAGTACAAGCAAATTTCCTTAAGTAGAGTACAGAATCATATTCGTTCTCAACAACTCGGGCATAGCTTCAGATCAACACTAGCTGGTTGTGACCAAGATACAACTGAAGCTACAGAAGCATTGGTCAACTGGACAGACACCATTACAATCGTTCAATACAGCCTTCCTTCGAGATACTGACATACTCAACGGATTCAAGATATCTCTGAACAACAGGTTCCAAGACACACATGATCAGCAGAGAGAAGAATAAGAAGCAACTACTATGGAGGACAATTGGAAATGGATCAGAGAAGCACCAAGTTCAACATGTGAAGAGGTTGTGGACCGCAACAAGCATCATCATAAGGAATGGATCTGTATGGAGAGAGTGTGCAAAATTGAAGAACAAGAAGGCAGCGATTAAAAACAGCCGAATAAATCAGGCTGACTGGCCATCAGACAAATCAAGAGTGAGTAAGCAGTGTAGCTGTTAATAATTCCCCAAAATCAATAGCTCATTAAGTGCTCGACATTGGTTGCTGGCTACATTTGTTTAAGTGGACTTGTTTAACTGAAGGCTTTCGGTCATTCATCCGTACCAGATCACGTTTCAAACCAGCGTGAGACACAGCTCCTACGTTCACTAGCCAGATTAGAGCAAACGCTTCTCGATATATTGATAACGTATGAAATATATCTTTCCGATCTCTTCGCGTCTGACTTCTGATTTCATTCGGTTGGTGAAAGCTTCCAATATAGAAGGTATTACTGGTTGCTAGTAGTTAAACTAGAAAACTAGTCGTATCTTCAGCAGCAACACCTGACAATATGCCACCTGAAGCACTGAAGTCAGACATGGAAGTGAGCGAGTGGGTGAGTAAGTGAGTGCAAAGATGCTTCAAATCCCACTCAAAAATGTTTGCGAGGACTGATATTTGTCATAGACAGATTGGAAAGAAAGACATCTCATCAAGATACGAGAGAAAGGTGATTTGAGAAAATTTGTGAACTATAGAGTCATCACATTGCTGTTAGTACCGGGAAACGTTTTCAACACCTGAGGCAAAGTACAGAATACAATGAACAGCTCTTAATCAGCTAGACGATTTAGACCTCACAAATGACCTAGCTCTCTTATCCCATGCACATGAACTAATGCAGATTAAGACAACTAATGTAGCATCAGCCTCTGCATCAGTAGGCCTCAACACACACACACAAGGGTAGAAGCACCATTCTCAAATACAGCATGGAGAAACTCTGGAAGGTGTGAAATCTTTCACCTTTCTGGTTGGTAGCATCATCAATGAACAAGGAGGATCTGATGCAGATGAGAATTCTAGGACTGAAAAATTATGGACCGCATTCTTACAATCGAAAAACATATGGAACTCAAAATAACTGTTAACCAACCAATTTCAAAGTCGGAACCTTCAATAAGAACGTCACGACAGTTCTGCTGTGTGGAGCTGAAACTCGGAAAACTACTAGAGCCATCATCAAAAATTTACGAGTATTTATAAACGATTGTCTACTCAAGATAATCAATATCCATTGAACGGATACCATTAGCGACAGCCTACTATTGGATAGAACAAATCAGTTTCCTACCGAGGAGGAATTTAGGAAGATACGTTGGAAGTGGATGGTAAATACATTTCAGAAATCGCGGAACCTCATCATGAAGCATACGCTTACTTGAGATGCTGTAGTTAAACGGAAAGGAGGAAGGAAAAAGAACACACTGCTTCGAGAATCGGAAGCATACATGAAAATTATGAAGAATAACTGGAAACAACTGGAAGGGATAGCTCAGGACAGATTTGAATCTAGTATGCTGATAAGCGGTCTATTCCACTGCACAATGATTAACAGGCGTAAGTAAGTACATACACCACCGTTAACTGTTGTCAAGTTTTCTCCGAAATATCTAGCGCAACGAAACTCTCGTGAAATGGAAAAGTTATCCAACCTGAAATTACAGAGGCTGACTTTACCCTAGATCGAGGCATATTCAGCTAAAATCATCTGTGTCAAACAATTTAGAGATGGTAAAATGGCATGCTATATCAGTAAAATTTTTGAAGGAAAACCTTATTAGTCCACAGAATTACTCAAAATCCAACAACATGGCTGGCTATGTAATGGTACGGATGATAACTAAACCAAGATGTTATATGCAAAACAATTAATCATACAAAAAACCAGATAACAGTATGAAGGTATAATAATCGTTAAAATCAATGTTGCAGTGTCAGTGAAATGTTACAGAGCTGATGCCAAGTTATCCATTAAGCTAGCAGCAGCCGGAAAATCACGAAGACAAATAATTCTATCAGCCTTCGACATTGTTCCTCATTAGTTTTAGTGACCATATTTTAGCTGAAGGCTCTAGATCACTCATTGTCACCAGATCCTCATCGCTTGTACCTTTTGTAACAGCTAACCGGGACAGATCAAACACTTCTTGGCGTACTGAACATATTCCAAATATATATTTGATCTCCTTCATTTCCGACTTTAGTCTAACAGGGTTTTTAATCTTACGATTGTAAAGTTGTTACGGGAAACAGTGTTGTCAAACCTCAAATATCTGTGGCATCTCCAAGCTCAATAGTTTCTGCGTTAGACCAGAGATCAGTGAACACTGAATAGTTTTCGGAATGTTGCTGAAGTTAGGAATGATAAACATGGACAACTCGAACACCACAGTTCAGAGCATCGGGCAGTAGTTGTCCAATACTGTACTTTTTACTATGCTTGTGCTAATGTAGACTGTTACTAAGGATGGTAATCGACATTGTTATTAGAACGAAATAATTTAGGTTAAGTAGTAACGTCCGAATGTGACTGCCGTAAAGATGATTCAGGCATTCAGAGTTCGACATCTCCTTTACACATAACACTTTTGCAATCGAAATATAACAATCTATTCAAATTAGAAGTTAAAAGTGGAGTGGTTTGAAGATATATTCAGAAGGCTATCAGTATTTCGAGGAGAATTTGGTCTAGGCTAGCTAACAGTTGCAAGGGATGCATGGCACAGCAAATCCACACTTGGTCTGGTGTGGATGAGTGACCGAGCTTCTTCAGCTAGATGTATCCAGCATAACTTATGGGGTCAGTATCAATATCGAAGACTTACAGAAATACTGACGAAACAATAGTTTCCAGACGACCTTTGAGAGACGTTAAGGTGACCTTGTAAATGTCCACCTACTAACTACGACTAGATAAGGATTATAAATCAGTGTGAGGAATCAGAATTATGATTTGAAGTTTATGATTGGGATTGGAAATTATACTTAGAGTTTTCATCACGAACTGAAACCGGCTAAAATGCCAAAACAGTATTCAGCCAAATGGATGGATGAGTTTCGTGCTAAAATCGTAGACCTGTTATCTTATATCCTATTGGTCCAACCAAAAATTATAGGTTTGTTGAACTACTTGTCTTGTGGATCTAATTGCAACTACAGAAGCAGGATATCAGGCCATACCACTACTGTCTAACCTGTGTGGAACATAATCATCGACACCGTCTATATTAGTTACCTAAAAATAAAAATGCATTTCGATAGTGTAATAAGAAGACCCAGATTATCAGAACTATGTGATATACTAGCGCAATGCGTTTATATGTAAAAATGAAAAATAGAGTAGGCCAGAAATAGAGGGTAAGGGGAGACAAGTATAATAAAGCAAATAATATGGAAACAATTTGAAGCCTCAACACTCTGGTTAATAAGTTAATATTACCAGGGTAGTTTTAAGGTGAGAACAAGCTGTTTTTAATACATAAAGAGGTTGAAACTTTCGTATGGCTAAGGCTTTCATGGACTTCGATATACGCCGTTTTACACTTTTGCATAACACCATAAAAACCGAGTTAAGATAAATCTCATGGCCTGTTCCAATTATGTGTTTGATAGTAGATGATGGGTGTTTATCTCCTACTCTTATTGTGTCGTTTGATTTTGCTTATAACCAAATTGGCACATGTACAAACACCCTAATTTTGGGATCACGATCACACAACTCTATATATGTGTCGCCACACACAATCGTTTTCATGTCTTTTGGGTTATTGATGAAGCATAGACCTTGTTCATTCCTTGATAATAAACTTTGAGCGATAATATACCAAAACCTAGCACGCAATAAACGCTATATAAAGAGTTCCATTGCAGATTATCAACACAAATAAAATTATCCCAATGGTTAACCACTATCTTGAGTATTTTGCTTCGATGGTTTAAGAAGAAGCATACATTTTAGTTTCAGTTTGGAAAGGAGCGGCGGTAAGGTGGTCGATGTTAGTCCTGGAAATGGTTGTTTTCCACTTTATCCAAATTTTATTTGAAAGAGTCGACAAATGGAGCTTAAAACACTTTCTGAGGTAATGAGTTCCACTCGTTGATGATTCGATGGAATGTCTATAGTCAGACGATAAGTAATTTATCTTGAACTTATGAACCTTATATTAGTGTCCTAGTAAATTCTCTGTTTTGTAAGACAAGAAAAGTAAGGGTATATCAGATGCAAATATATCACTAAGTAATTAGAAAACTACAATCAAGCTACCTTCTTCGATATGACAATGAGAATAGGTTTAATTTAGCCACTAGAGCATCATACGGGAGTTTCTATATTCCGGGAATCAGCTTAGTTGAAATACTCTGAACCTGTACTACGGGCTCACAGTCGTTTTTAAGGCAGAGGCTAGCCGCTTGTATACAGTACTCAGATTTAGGACACACGAATACTACATACGAAGTCAAAGACGTTTTAGCGTCTACGTGGCAGAAGTCCGAACGTATTGTCCATAGGGTTCTAAAACATTTGGCGACTATTGTACGGCAGTGTGCAGTAGTCTTTAAGTCTTGGCTAACGGTGACCCCCAAGTCATTGTGTGCTTGGACAACAGGTAGGTCAATGGTATTCATTATGTAGGTCTCTGTACCTCGATGACCGATATGCATCACAACACACACGGAAGTATATATCGGCAACTGTCAGGTTTGGGACCATTCAGATAATTTCTCTAGGTCATTTTGAAGTTCTGAGCTACCACCCTTAATTTTTGTCGCTCTCCATATCTTGACATCGTCAGCATACAGCGAGAATGATGATGGTAGGAGACGAGGGTCATTCACATATAATAGGAGTAACACTAGCCCCCAAACTCTACCTTGAGGCATCTTAGCTAGATAACTTTGAGTTCACCCGAACTCTTTGTTGGCGCCCGAATATGAGATTTTTTATCCACATCGATAGATTTCCTCCAACCTAGACATTTCTTAACTTATTTAACAACCGGTTGTGAGGAACTTTATCGAAAGCTCTGATGAAGTCAATGTAGGTCACGTCTATAGGTAACTTTTGGCCCTTAAAAGGGAATCAGCTTTCACGGGCCACTTATAAGTTAGTGAAACAAGAATAACCTATTCTAAGATCCGAAAGGATCCAGTTTTCATCAAGTTACTCAGACAGATCCCTCCAAGTAATCTTTTCTGAAATTACAACAACCACTCTAGTTAGGCTAACGAGTCGATAGTTTTCAGGTATAGTGTCGCATCTGTTTTTAAGACACGACTTACTATGGCGTTCTTCCAGTCTTTTAGTAATCGACATTGGGTTGCGGATAGATTAAAACATATACTTAAGGGTTTCGCAACGAAGTTAGCTAGTTCCTTCAGTAACCTAGGATGCAGCTCGTCGGTTCCTGTGGATTTGCCTATATCATGCTTATGAAGCAGACCATAACATCGAGTTATTTGATGGTCACATTATTGAGTATGTGTGCGTGCGGGGGATTCGTATGAGCTGATGGTAGTGGCGTTTTTATGGCATATACATTGCTAAAGTGGGTTGAGAATAGTCGAGCCTCACCAAAGTCGTCCTCCACAAATATTTGCTCATGTTGCTGGAATATTTCTTCTTCTTTCATTCCCTTGGTTTGCATACGAATACAAGCTTTTCTGGCATTCTGTAGATCCCTTAACAACATTTTCTTCGTACAACCTCCTAGATTTAATAAGGGTTGTGGCTCAAATATTTCGGGCTCCTCGATATTGACAGTTTGTCTCATCTGTAAGCAGTAACTTAAGTCTTTCCAACATTCTTCTCCTCTTACGAAGAAGGTTGAGAGCCTCCTTAGTGAACCATGGTGGTGAGCTTTTCGAACCTCTTGGTTAGTGCTAATGAACAATAACAGGGTGGATTTGCATGCACATAGCATACAATGTCCTGTGAATCTAACACACAACAACACCATCATGCACTGTCTCATTGCCATTGACAGATCAGGCAACCCGAAGATCACGAGAATACCATGAGGGCGTGCGACTGGCTGGGTATCCGAGTTAATAAAATAATAACCGTTGAATCCTGGGGTAAATACCAATGAGCCAGCATACATGCGGCCCAGTAAGAAGCCACGTGCATGTTTCGTTATATATTTTTGGTCAGAAGGGGTTTTGTGGAGAATTTAGGATTTTCATAGTTAAAATCATGAGTCAATTGAAGCTAGACCACCATCGAAAACCTGGAAGCACTGGATGGTTGTTTCGTTCTATTATGGGACTCCTCAGCAGTACGCATCCACGATCCCTCACTCGCGAGATTCGAACCCAGGACCTACCAGTCTCCCGCCAGAGCATTTAACCGATAGACCACTAAGCCGGCATCCAATGGTGTTAGTGTCCCATAATAGGACGAAACGGCCGTCCAGTGCTTCCGGGTTTTCCATGGTGGTTTAGCTTCAATTGACTCATGATTTCAACTTTGAAAAAATATTTTTGGGACATGATAATGATCTTTCCGCATGCCCATCTACGGAAACCTTGTTGCGGCTTTTACTTCCTCCAAATAATCAAATTAGGTCCTATTTTCAGCATCAGTCAAGCGGCGAAGCCACAACAATGAGATTGATCCAACAACTTCACTGAACCATCCAATTGGTTGTAGCCAAAGGCAGTTTGTACAAAGGTCAGGGAAGTAAAGAACGCAAGTTTATTACTTGAGCTTAACATAAATTCCTCGTTCATGGATTATAATTGCAAGCCCCGATTCCAGTTACGACGGTGATGAAACAGTTTATCCAACCCTTTTGGTCCATGTTTTCATACCCGTTGGCAACGTCATTGTAGCGAACGTGTGTCTCCGGACATCAGTGACCTGTTATTACCCAATTTCGTGCAAATTAGGTGTACCATATGACCCCCTAAGTAGTAAAAACGGGCACCGCACCTGCTGGACCACGGCCACACTCCTTAGTAAAGCAGCAATAGAAGTTGTGCCCTAAATGAACACATATGACCAGTCTACTATTTAGCAGGTTAAAGTCTTGTTCGCCATCGGAACTAACTAGGCAAATCGATCCATCAAATGAGAACGGCCATGAACCACCATCTACAATACAATAGTATTTTGGTGAGGTAATACAGTTCGATGTTCACGTAGTTATGAGTAACCTCAAAGTGTGAAAAACAACATTATACCCTATAACGAAAGGTCGTAGTCAGTAAAACGGAAAAGAGGACAATGTGTGTAGTATTTATTTGGTTGACAAAAGGTAACAGGAGTACGGGCCAACTAGAAACAGAAATCTCTCACTATTGAGACAAACAGAAATTAGATATCTAATACACCTGTGATAACATATGTAATGCCTGATAACTGGGGGAAGATGTTATGTTTTATTATGGTTTATAAACCGTTAAGTTTACTTAATGCAGAAACATTATGGAATGTTGAAGTCATGAAGATTTTGAACCAATCCTTTAGGTCAGGTTCGTCAATCGAGAATTTCTGTCTAACTTAACACCTTTTTTAAATTTTCTCACAGATAGACGAAGTTGTTGGATATTGAAAGTTGGCGTCTTCAAGAGGTTGCGTTGCCTTGTTTTTCGTGCACTAGTGTTGAAAAAGTTTGTATGTTGTTGGTATCTGAACATTAAGTAAATATATGTACCATAGTCAGTTTACGCATTTAAAAATTAATATTTATACAAAGGGTATCCGTGAATACTAAGTATTGACTATGGATTTTCAAATTAAACGTGTATGTGGAAACCAGACTTTCTTACTTGATGTCATCTGGCAACCTTTTGAAATTGATTAGTCTATTTTCGTTCACCTGTATGTGATCGTTCAGCTTTGAGGGATATAACATGACTGTGAATGATATTAACTGATGCTATTGTCTGAAGTTTCACAACCACAGTAAATGTACTGATATGGTGAGTTGCGATTGCAGTCAATCTTAATTCCTAATAAATTCTGCTGTTAATCAAAGAAAATGTACTGGTTAGTCACTCTTCAACTTCACGGGATTCTGTAGTAACCAGTCCAGAAACATCACTAAAATACAATTCAGTTACATTCAAACGAAGTACAGAGCATTCAATTCGAGTAAAATGTAGATCGATGGTCTTTCGTAACTGATACATAACCATTTAGGGGTGTTATTAAGAAAATCTAACTCTTAGTATTATGTGTACGAACGGCTACCCACTTCAACGTGCGGTCATAGGTCGTATATTTGTTGGCTGGATAAAGCCATGGGTGACTGGACCAAAACATAAGATCGGTATGTCGAGTCAATAAATATCAGCGAGATCTGTGTTGGTTGATACCGACTATGTGGTCGGGGTCCTAACTAAAGTTATAGTTAACAGTTTAAGACGCACAAATTCAGTTACATTGGCTAAGATGCATCTGTTCCCTATCTGTCCTCATATTTTAAGCTTCATCATCCAAAATCTCTTCATTACTAGAACCATATTCTGTGCCTAATATTTTTTCTACCACTGGTATTACCATTACCATGATACTCATTTTGCTAGTGTTATCTCGCTGTATTCGTGCGGTACGAGGACTTAGACCGGTAGATATTTATTGTATGTTGCCAATGATTGACTGACTGAAAAGTTTATAGCAGCCTTTACTATTGCTTCCCTTAAGTCCATTTCTGCTAAATTTGAGCCTATAAATGGTTTCAAAGTAACTAACTGATCAATTAAATGTGTAACAACTCATACTTAACTGTAAATCGTTTTGTGGAATATGCTTTCTTGATTGCAGTAATTCTCATTAGTTCATTAGGGTAATATTCTCCAGACTCAAATCTGATTGGATGGTTTAATACATCATGTATGTCAATATTTTTGTCTGGGAATCAATCGGTCATTGCTTTATTTTCTTGTAACTTCAATGAAGGTTAATTTAACCTATCGAGTGTACCGTAAACGTTTGATCGTCCGTCTCTGGAATTTCCAATTCTTTGGTATTCCAGAAGAATTCCAACTTTTAAGATTTTCCATCACTTTCCACCAATCGGCCGTGCAACTTAAGAAAGGATAGCACTAAGTACATGAAGCCAGTCAAAGAGTTATTGAGCAGGAATGTAGAATAAAGTTATTCATCAAAACCATATTTCCCTAGCATAACAAAAACAGTCAACATTTTCCGGCTTTCCATAGCCACAAAATAGCACTTTCAAAATCGTGAAATACATATACTACAACTTGAAACCGAAATCCTTATGATAATAGCTTTTCAACTAAACTTTAAATAATCTATAGATAAGAAAGTCATGTCATACAGTTTTATAATGAAAAATATCATCAGTTAGCAATGTACATTTGTGTGTCCAAAGTAACTTTAGATCTTAATTTTCATATCTATTTCTACAGGATATCACCAATCTTTAAACGTTTTCATTAAATGCGGAATTCTACATTTTATATTACCAAACCGATCGTTTACGAGTGCTTACCACACAATCCATTCAGACGGTGCAATTTTTCTAGTGATTCTGGGGATTCACAATGTTTAACAAAACCTCGATATAAATGGGCTCTATATGACAAAAGGTATTTTTAGTATCACTGAAAAACTTTTTTAAGTGTAACTGATAATGATCCACATAAAACTTCCATAATTTTATTCCCAGGACAAGGATCTCATTTTGTCGGGATGGGCAAAGATCTTATAAAGTTACCAAAGATAAAGCAAATGTTTCAATGTGCTAATGAAATATTAAGAACAGATATTCTTCGTACTTGCCTTGAGGGTCCTGCTTCAAAATTATCAAAAACCATTCATTGTCAACCAGCTACTTTCATAATTTCTTTGGCAGCCCTTGTAAAGCTTCGAGAAGAAAATGAAGAGGTTTCTATCTCATATAATTCACGCTATATGTTTTAAGTTAATTAAAAATTGCGTGGTTACAGCAGGGTTTAGTCTTGGCGAGATCAGTGCTTTAGTGTTTTCGGGTGCCCTGACGTATGAAGAAGGTTAGTGTACTTGCTTTCAAATATTAACGTAAACAGGTCTGCATATTATTCGTGTCCGAGCAGAAGCTATGCAAAAAGCTTGTGATGAGAAGGCTGGAGCAATGATTACTGTTTTCGTCAATCCTGGATCCCCGTTAAAACTTGGTATAGCAGCAGCTATCAATCATTGCGAGGTTCGCCACAAAATTCAAAACCCTTGTTGTAAAGTCGCTAACTATTTATATCCAGATTGCAAAGTAATCGCTGGAAATAAAGAGGTACTATATTTTAAATCTGGAAAATGTTTTTTTTTAACTCCATACACTACTTGCTTATCATATTTCTTTATTTTACCTATGAACAATATCTCTACTATATTTTAAAGTTATAGAGAACTATCTATAAATATCTCTTGACTTAATTACTAAAGAGTACAGTCAGTAGTGCATTAAGTAAAATCAACATAGAGGATAAAATTGCCTTCGATAATGTTTACACCTTTGTATTTATGCGGAGTTACAACTCCAAGAATTGTTAGTGGTTATTAGTATGTAATATTTCTCCTTACTGGATTGTCGTTTGTCATCCCATCCAGATTGTACTCCTGTGGCTGTTGTTTGACTTAATACACTGCGCAACTTCAGTGGAACTACATTTCAATTAGTTTCCGGTGACTGGTTTATTTTAGTTTTATTGACTTTCTATTCGCTGGGTGATTTATCTCTTAATACAGAAAACCATTATATACAACAGAACTCCGTAAATTTGTTATTCTATGTGCACTTATTGCGTAGCATCCAATTAGTGTTGTTCTCATCACCAATTCGCCAATGGCACCTGCCTTCTCATATATATGAACGTTCGTATGAGCTCTTCCACTTTTATTTATCAATTCTGGGTAGTTATAAACAGGTTTGATGTCCAGTTCTCCTTGGTGAAAAGACTACACAAATTTGAGATACAAACGTTAAGAACTCATGTTCTACCCTTAGAGTCGCGTTCTACTTAGAGGTCTTCTGATCAACTTAGATTATTAGCTAATCTACTTCTATTAAATAAACAGTTCGGAAATGTAGTATTTCAAGTTCAGTGAAACCATACGCTTTTGTTTTAAAGCTGCGTATATCATACAATTGTAGATAAGTAGCTGCTATCTTTGAATTTTTTTCTGATTTTGTTGAGATTAACTGCATAAAATAGTTATTCCCCAGTTTCATTTGGATTTAATAATAATTTCAGGCAATCGACTTTATTGAAAATCATGCTGGTCAATTTGGAATACGTCGAACCAAACGATTACCAGTTAATGGAGCTTTTCATACTCCTTTGATGTCCTCTGCCCGGAAAATTATTGCTAATTCACTAGACAGGATGGGAGATTTTCAGGAACCTTCGATACCTGTTATTAGTGCCGTAGATGTGTTACCGTATAGAGGTACAATGAATATTAAACGAAAACTTGCTATGCAGGTATATACTTCTGTATTAAGAATTTGTAAGAAACCTGGTGCTAGCATAAACATTTGGAATCTCTTAAAATACTTCGCAATTACAATAAACGGTGCAGGTCATTCTAGGAAGCACTCTAGAAGTCCACCTGTAAATCGTAAGACCATTTTTCAAGGTTTCACAGTAAGAGATGTCATTTGTATCGAATGGCTCGGGATCGATCACAATGATATAGATACATTCATTCCCCATCTTACTTTAAGTCATATTCATCAATATCACTTAGTGCTTCCTATTCCTCAAATCCATTCATTTAAAATAGTATTCCTCAATGTCTAATCTTTTTCACTATCATTATTTCGGTTCTTGCTAATAATCTTGTTAAAAGAATCCTTCCAAGTTGTGTGATATTAACTTGGATCGATACATATTTGTCGCGGTCTCTGACTGACTAACGCAACTACTTAAGCATGTGTTCAGTGATTCGATGAAAAACCTTATACGTGTTGAACAATTAATAAATCCCTGATATTGACCATTTCCAGCAATAAATGTTGGACTTACTGTTGATTCGAAGTATGATATCAGACTGTCAATCTTATTTATCGATATAATTCCATAATTAGAAAATTATCTTGCGCACGGTCAGAAGTTGAGTATCTGTAGTTAGCATTCATCCTACTCATCTCTTATGTAGTAGTACGAATAGGGACTCACTGTGGTGTAACAAAAGACTACTTTTGTTAGATTTACTTATCATATCACTAAGTAACATCTAAACATATATCTGATGTAGAAGAGTAGTAGCCACCAATTTTTCACGTGGTAAGGATGTCTTTATTGATTTGCTATCAAACTCTACAATCCTCATTAAGGAATAAAATAAATGTCTCACCGCCCTACAGGTAGGTTTCCTAAATAAACTTCTAGACTTATAAATGGAATATTTCAAGTAGTTGCATGTGATTCACAAGAAACTTAAGAGATAAGCTTCGCGCTGGTTGCTAGTCATCAGAAATCAGTGTCTTTGATTTCGGAGGTGACGCACCCTGTAGTCGATCAGCCGTAAGGACTAGACAAATATGACATTAGTTATTATGCAAAGAGACCAGTCGACAGAAATGATATAGTTGCGAACTATTTAAACCTTAATCATTGTAAAAGTCCAGTACTATAACTTATAAAATTTTCCGGTCCAGCCACAAGTTGTTTGTATATTCTCTATTTTTATCACTGTAATTCAGTAATTGTGAATTTATAACTATGGCACTTGGGATTTAAACCATTGAAAACAATTTTTCGTCTTAATACTGTCTTTGAGAATACTCTGTGCGGACCTTTTAAGTTACTAGATAACTATTTATTCTTTGTTTTCATATAAATGTATGTCGTGCTACTTCGAAGGCATGACTGGTTAGTATTCATTTGAGATCTTCAGATGTAAGCAGCCTCAAAAAAAACCGTGTCTTTTTACTCTTTACAGATTGTCCGTCCTGTAAGATGGGAGCAAACGTTGTATGCACTATATGATCGTCCACTAGATGTCCCTTTTCCTCGTACAATTGAATCTGGTCCTGGGCGACAACTTGGTGCTATGCTGAGGATGGTCAGTCGTAGAGCGTTTGATACTTACAGCTCTGTGGACGTGTAGATGTGTCATTCTCTTCAGTCGCATTTAATGTATACCCATGTATATACTGACCAACATGTACAGCTAAGCAAAATATATTAGCAAAATAAACTCGAGGATTTTATTTGGCGATAAATGATTTAGTGATGTAATAGTTTTTTAGAGGCGTAGTTTATTTGTGATTTATCTTTTCACCTCTGTAAGTTACGATATTCTTTTCAGTTTCCCATATTTTAACTTCATAAAGTAAATTATTAGGGACAGCATTGACTAATTGTGACCATACAAAAACTGCTAGGTTTTCCGTAGTTGATACAATACTATTCTTTTTAAAATATTCAACATCTTCATCGATATTTTTATGATCTAATAGGTCAAGAACATGTTTTTGAATAACTGATTTTAAGTCACTTATGTTCATAACCATACCGGTTCTTTGATCAATAGGTCCTGAAACTGTGATCTCCAGTTTGTAATTATGACCATGTCCCATAGGATTATTACATTTTTGAAACATTTTAACATTTTCTTCATCACTAAGATGTTGTGAATGAAGGCGATGACAGGCGGAGAATGATTCTACTCTCGTGAGGTAACATAGAGCACTCATCTGTGAAGTATTACATATATATAGTCCTGTTAAAAGAAACAAAAGTTAGCTATAATAGTTTAGCATAAAATCAACTATCAATATTTGAAAACTTCCTCAATGACCATTATCTTTATACGATAAAATGACTGCACAACAAAGGGAGTCCTCGTCATTAGTAATACCGAAAAAGCTAAATGAGTGACCGTTTTTAATTCTTTTAAGACCTAGTTAAATAAAGCAACTAGTAACAAGGAGGAATTTTACCGTTCCGTAGTACAAAGAAAGCAAGTAATCCTTGGTCTCATTGTGTAAAAGGTGTTAACGTACAAACCCAGTGACTAAATTTATTTTTAAGTACATAAATATTGGTACAAGGAAGTAGCGAATCTATATATGCCGCGCTTCATCATTCGATTTGTGTGAGGCCTGGGATATTGCTCGGGCGCTCGAACTGAGTCAGGCGGTTTTCTTATGAGGCCACTCCCCATACCTTTGACCTAGACAGTTAATGAACAAGGCATTTCGGTAACGTTAGGAGATGCAGTTCCACGGTAGCCGGTCACTAACAATTGGTTCATACGCCATTTGTTCTCTCTGGGGCCCGTGTGTTCTATTGGTTTGGAACCAGGTTTTTCCAACTCCCCTGGGTGGATCCTCCGTGTCCACCAACGCAGTTAAGGCGTCCGACATTAGCTTTTCATCCTCTTGATTTCGTAAACAACACCAGTGGCACAAAAAGGTAATGAGTAGGACTTCCCTGGCAGTAGCTGTACACGTGTGGCCATGTGAGATCATTTCGAGAGAGGTGACTCTCCCCACCCTCGGCCGTACCAAGGCATTTGGGGGCTAGTGAATAAAGACAGTTAATGTCACTAATCAGGGTTATCATAATTACCATGCTCTGTAGATTTATGAATACGATGTTGCTGCTGAGTAAAACTGCGTCAACTAAGACTTCATGTTGGAATCTCTATATCTCCAGTTTACTTCATAAGCAATGTTTATTCCTGTGACCTGTGTTGTCCTTCGAAAGATTGTCCATTAATTCACATTCGCCTTCACAATAATCTTGGCTTTAAAATATTTCCAGATTACTGAAGTTAGGTGTCAAGTTAAATTCTCTTCTGTACAGAACTTTGTCCTCGATCGTTAAGTTAGATGGGTTTTTAAATGTAGTTTAGAATGTCATTACCGCACCACATAACATGACTCAAATCAATTCATTCTTTCGCGTTCCGTGGACCCTGGATCTTAGTACTATTCAACTGTTTCCTACAATTCAATGTCACCAACTGGAATGGTTAATTTACCTTGCACATAATCAGTGTTTAGATCACTTAGATAAACATTATCTTCAGTCGCCAACAGGCAGGTGTCTGTGGCATCAAGTGAATGGCTTGTAAACGTGCAACGCCGTACACACATGGAAGGTTCTTTAAAGAAATAAGAAGCGCGTTGATCTGGCAAGACTACAATTTTGGGGTACAACAATCAGACTTCAAATATCATTTGCCCGATTTCGGTGCATAATCTATTTGTCCTTATGACTAAGTAGTATTACAGCCGATGTCGATTCGTGATGAAAACCTTAATTTCTCAGATTAATCTACAATTCTTTTTCCAGTCTAATATTTAGTTGAAGCTTTTCAAGGTCAATCTAATACCACCTAAAGGTCGCCCATGAGTCATAGCTTCTACGACATTTTCTTCCAAAGTGCTCTCTGATTGGGAATAAGCCAGTGTCTTCACTACATATCCTACTGCGCTATAGCTTGAGTACCATAGACCAGGAAGAAAATCGACTGCTGATAAGACTTAAGATTAAGCTGGCTTTCTTTATCAGTGAGGGCTCTAATTGCACTTAAGAGTTGCGCTCCATCTACATTACCGAATTGTACTGCAGATCCATCTCATTTTTCAACTCTGTTCGAAAACGAAACGAGAAGTGTCGAGGGGATGGTAAATGACCTGCCAAGTGATAATTTTATTCAAATAACCGAAAGTGAAGCATGATGAATCTGTTTGCATTTTACTTTAAACTAAACATACTAGATAGACCACTTCTGCAAGGTCGTAGAACCACGGGAAAGCATTAGTTGGAAATCGCGTATGATGTGTCTGGATCCCCACTCAATTATTCTCGCGGCCGAGTTGCAGGCAGTCCGCCATATGTGCATAGATACCGTTGGGTCGTGAAACCATATGAGAATTTTTGATGGGGTTTCGTTCTCTGAGCCGGATGGTTTGGTCGTGGAGCTTTTATCGTCCTTCTGAACGACATCGTCAGCACAAACTTCAGGTAGAAATGAAGTGTTCGAATTTCGTCACATGTCGTTCACAGCTTGTCCTGTACACCTCGATGCTGATGGGTTCTTGTTGACCTTGAACCTGTCATTGGTTACTTTATTGATTTAATTGCAGCTCCCATTGGTTTGGATTTTGTTTCTGCATAATTTTCCTGATTGGTTGATAGGTCGAGGTGTACAGGACAAGCTGTGAACGACATGTGGAGAAATCCGAACACTTCATTTCTACCCGAAGTTTGTGCTGACGATGTCGTTCAGAAGGACGATGAAAGCTCCACGACCAAACCATCCAGCTCAGAGAACAAAACTCTATAAAAATCATCCACCTGAGCTACAAATCTCCACCATCTCAAAAGCATACAAGAATAAATATTATTCATCCTTAAATATCGTCGTCAATTAAGACTGGACTACAATAGAGAACGAAATGTGTGTTACGGAAATTCGTATATGGTAGGTGAATCTTTAGGATACAGCGGAATGTCCCGACAGACTATGGTGTCGTTTATGTTACTGACACTTCATTAAAATGTGAATATAACTAGTATGAAATCTGGAAAACCTACGTTTCAGGAGCCCAATACTTCCCGTACTGTTAATTTGGACGCCCTAATAGGTTTGGTACAACGAAGTATCAGTATGCCAAGTGCCAATTCACTTTCGGGATCTTGGACTGAGTAATAAGGGACAAGTTTCTGTCTTTAAAACTTGACGCTATCTTAGGTGTTAGTGGGGCTTGTTTTACATCATCTGGTCGTTTAGCTTGCGTCAATGCAAATAACACTGCATCCTCTTCTAATTCCACTAGTCACAACAAACTGATATGGAAGCCATCTACCAATTGTCAAGTATTTTAGGTCTGGTATACGCCATTCTTTTGTCTTGTACGCCGATTCGATATCAACGACGGGAAATTTTTCATGAATATCGATCACATTATTACGTGCATAAACAGCCTCCGATATATTGCTAAGATCGCTCCGAAGCACTTCCACCTCAATATCCCTTACACGACGTATAAAATCATCTAAATTCCCGATTCGTGTCTTTTTTATAATTATTTATATACAACACGCTGGTAGTCTTGTCCTTATATTCCTAGTGTCACTATAGCATAATCTCTTAAGTTCTTCCTACGCTTAACCTATGGCTCTCAGAACGTCGATATTTCCTTGAATAAAAGGTTGAGTGGCGTCCCTCTCAGTATTCCATAACCTTTTCGATCTATCTGTGGTCACGAAGATGTTATTACACGGATGGTTATGTGGGGCATTAAAAAGTATTACTTCGTATTATCCAGTGATATACTCTACTCTTATTTTGAACTTACTATCCAAATATTAACACTTACAACAGCGTTAGGTCATAAAGAAGACAGAAATTTGTCCCTTATTACTCAGTTCAAGACCCCGAGTAGGAAGCAGGTCCCGAAAGTGAATTGGCACTTGGCATACTGATACTTCGTTGTACCAAACCTATTAGGGCGTCTCGAAGTAACATTACAGGAAGTGTTGGGCTCCTGAAACATAGGTTTTCCAGATTTCATACAAGTTATATTCATGAATCCATCTATAAATCTGTAGCATCGTAATTTACTTTGTAGACCGAAGGTAGTACAACTGCAATGTGTGAGCGCAGAACAGGAAAGTGACCTAAGCAACCAATAAATAGGAAATAAAGGCGAACGTAGGGGAAATGTCAACTTCTCTTCCTGGGGCTGGCTACTTGGAGCTGGGCATAAATAGACAATTTTGCGTATATTTGTGTGAAAAGTTGAAAACTTGGTGTGAATTCAGGTGAAACGTAGACATTTTCAAACATGGAGCAACAAATTTGTTGCTCCTTTTTAAAAGAGAAATTTCACATTATTTTTGCTTGACAGGCGAAAGAGAGGACTTTTAGAGCGTCTCCCGTTTTCACTTTGTTCGCCTTTATCCTCTCTTTTGATTGCTCAGGCTAGATGCTGAAAAACGAAAGACATTTCGATGTTCGATCTCTGAGCGACGCTGAGTCGACCTTGAAGAAATCGGCGAGACTAAAGAACATGGACGACCTTTGAACGAATCTTAAATGACCTTGAGAAATATTGGCCAATCAGAAGACAGTTAGCATACAATAAAAATATATTATACAAAACTCAAAAATTAAAGGGGATACTGTTCTTTTACATGCATCAAAAACTTATCAACGTCAGATATAGGTTCAGAAGTTCTAAAATCATAGTGCATCCGGCACAGGAACTCATCCCTGAGGCTCCATATTAGTCGACATCTGGAACCATGATAAAGTCCAGAAAATTCTTTCAGCCTCAACCACATAGTTTCAGTGTTGTCGGTATGTTGGTATGGTTCAGGGTTTAGGATTAGGGTTAAGGTTTAGGGTTAAAGATGAGACTATAAATAATGGACGACATTTGAGCGACGCTAGAGTGAATCTGAGAGTGTCAACATAACAACTAAGACTAAATGAGGGTTATAAACCCGTGTGAAGAATTCAAATTATGATTTACAGTTCATGGTTAAGGTTATGAATTTTACTTAGGGTTTTCATCACGAACTGACATCAGCTATAATGCCACAACTCAATCCAAATATATAATTGAATTTTGCGCCAAAACCTAATGGTAACATATCTTGTAGTCGCTTAATTATCATGTTTTCTCTAAAATCCTTTGTAAACTGACCGTACGTAAGCGTCAGGTACCGAACTTAGCGCTGTGACCTTGAAAACCCGCGAAAGCTTCTGATTGGCTCGTCCATGTTCTTTAGTCTCGCCAAGAAATCCATCTACTTACTAGATTCAAATTTGTGTAGTAAGGACTGAAGGTCTAAGGTCTACGTTATCCCTTTTGTAGTATGTTTTTATAAGTGTCCAATCTTCTCTTGAATGAGTCAATTGAAGGTGCGGACACCAATATTTCGGGGTAACAGGTTGCAAGAATTGATATCGGTGTGAAAATTTGTATGTCGCGGGTATTTTGTTCGTTCTTGGCTTTTCTACTCGCCTGCTATGTACTCTCAGATGTCCCGATCTAGTGGGAAGAAAAAGAGAGGATGTATTTTGTCCGAAATGATTTCTTGGTACTCTGTACATTAAAAATCAGATCACAGCTTAATCTTCAATAGGACAGAATACAGAGGTTTAGCTTTTCAAGCCACTTTTTTGTATGGTAAACCTCACACGGGTAGCTAACCTCTGCATATTTTCCAGGATATCCGAGTCACCTTTTAAACAGGAACTCACAGCTTAAAAGCTGTTACCAAGCTTAGTTCTAACCAAGG